ACAGAATATTAAAAAAACTAAGCATCCCTTATGAAGTGTGACATCAAGACTAATGAATCATAGTATCCTCAGCAAAATAGGGCTGGGGATGTAGCTCGGTGGCACTGTGTCTGCCTGGTAAGCACAAGGTCCTGAGTTTGATCCCTAGTACCAGGGGAAAAAAGAAAAACTAGCAAAATAAAAGTCCTACTTGGATAAATTAATTCATAATTTTGAAGGGAATAATTTTTCCTATTACGACATGAAAGGGGTAGGAATTCCACATTTTGTGGCCTTTGTTAAAAAAAAAAAAAAGATTGTGAACTTAAAACATGCTTAAAGTCATATTCAAACACTTTAAACAAATTCATTCCGCATGTTTTTTTATTACTAGTGTCACATGGTAGTTCAGTCTGGAGAACAGGTAACAATGTGGATAGTGTTTCTTTTTTTTCTTTTTTTTTTTTGGTACTGCGGATCAAACTCAGATCCCTGTGCTTGCGACACAGGTGCTGGAAGCACTGAGCTAAATCCCCGGCCCCGGATAGTGTTTCAATCTAAATTAGATCTAACAATCTTATTCATTCACTTGCTGAAAATGTTTAACCTCCTCTGCCCTGTATGATTTTAAAAACAGAAGTCAACCCACAAGGGTACCTGTTTAAATCTAGTCAGAGAAATGCAATAAATGACAATTTCTTGCAATGGTTCTTTTTTTCCTACAAAACAACAGTAATCACTATGGTGCCTGGCCTGTCACACCTAGTGAATTTTCACACCCACAGTACAAGGAACCCTAAATCCCCAGCCATTCTGTCCTTACATTTGCAATCAGCTCCATGACACTGTTCTTCAGGAAGACCTTCTCCAGGCGAGACATGCTATTCCACCGGAACCTGCCACACAAATGCAAAAAGCAACAGAACCATGTCAGATGTCTTTTCTTCACAAGAAAATAGCTTTGACTCTTGCATTTGATTATGCTGGTGATTTCATTAAGAAATTCTAGGGCTGAGGATTTAGCTCAGTGGTTCCGCCGCCTGCCTTGCAAGTGCAAGGATCCGAGTTCGATCCCCAGTACCCTTTGGAGAATGGATAGAAGAACACTTGGGAAAAATGTTTCAACTGTGCTGTGGTCTACTAATTAGAATCTACAAAAGATTTATGCCACTAATCAGCTTTTCTCTCAAGATCTTACTAATAGGCCAAAAGTAAATGTACATCTAGGACGACTCCAGTACTGTAGTTGTTTTTCAGAAAATCTAAAACTTTGTGGGGGAGCGAGGGGGTGAGGGATACTGGGGATTGAACCCACAGCCTTCACACAAAGCTTATCCTTATCCTTCTTGAAATTTGACACAAGGTCTCTCTAAATCACTAAGTTGCCCAGGCTAGGTGCAAACCTTCAAAATTCCTGCTTCAGCCTCCCAGAGAATTGCGATTATAGTTGTGTACCACCATACCCGGTTAGAAAATACAAATCTTTTTTGCGGGGGAGGTACCTGAGATCGAACTCGGGACCTTACGCTTTCAAGGCAGGCGGCGGAACCACTGAGCTAAATCCCTGGCACAAATCTCGATACTACTCCCTATACTGTTTTATAGTTGTAGTAAAATTCTAGAAAAACTTTGGCTAAATCTTAAAATCTGACTTTTCTGAAACATGTTGAGGTAAAAAGACTCAAGTTAGGAGTTTTTAGTTACTCTTATATAATCCTGCTTTCCATATGCCATTCAGGGATGACCCATATTCAAAAAGAAAAAGAAAGTCGTGGTGCCTAATCAGAAATTTGTTTACCTACACATTGAATTTCTCTAAAAATGCCATGAGGTCTGCTTAGCATAAACTAGGAGCTCAAAAAACCACACAAATAGAGTAGCAGCTATCGGCTAAGATTTGTTGAATGCTACAAAGGTTCAAAATCATGAATGAGGATAAAAATGAACGTGCAAGTTATATAAGAAAGATTTGTGCTCTCATGGCCCACAGCAGTCATATTTTTTTTTTTTTTTTGGTACCGGTGATCGAACTCAGGACGTTGCACTTTCGAGGCAGGTGCCAGAACCACTGAGCTAAATCCCTGGCCCCACAGTGGTCATATTTAAGAGTTCCTTACTTGACAACGTGTTCCAATATCTGAAGACCAAAATGTCTGACGATGGCAATTTGTGTTTTCTCAGCCAGCCTCAAGCCACAGTGGACACAGATAGGGCACTTCTCTTTAAACTCTTCACAAAACTGAAAGAAGCAAAGTTAGTATTTTCCTTAGGGAGCTAAGACAAGGGGAGCGAAAAAAACTTAGTTACAAACCCTAGATCAGTATTATGCAAATAAAGAATTGATAAATGTTTCTTCCACTTTGATGGTACATTTGCCATGCTGTGGCCACCAGTACCCTTACTAACACTGAAAAACTAATTGGGTGTAAAGAAGTAAAAAACTGTTAGAAATACACCCCAGAAGTATATAGTGGCAGAATGACAATTCCCAGAGTTTGCTTTAGCAACTTGGGGGGTGGGGGGGTGGGCAGGTCAAAACAAAAGTATTAAAAGCTGAATTTAAGTGACAAGTATATGCACAATGGCTGTAATATTCTTTACTTTTGTGCCTATTTTAAATTTGGGGGGGGCTAAATCAGGGTCTCACTTTGTCATGCAGGCTAGCCTTTAACTCACTATGTAGCTGAGGCTGGCCTTGAACTCAAGGCAATTCTCCTGCCTCAGCCTCCACTAGGGCATGTACCACCACACGTGGCTAAATATTTCATATGAAAAAACAGAACCCTATTGTTTCATTCCAGATTCTGTGGCACAATACTGCAAAGTTTCTTCCAAGTGGCGGTGACTCTAAGAAGTTACATCACCTAAAATACACAGAAGAAGCACCTATGGACACTGTTTAAAGGGGGATTAGCTGGATTGTAGCAGCATCCCCATTAGTATTCCATTCCCAAACTACCAAGCTTGTGTCAGTCCACAGACCACAGCATCACAGACTCAAGAAAACTACTTTCAGAAAACCAAAGTGCCCTTGAGAAAATGCAAAGTAAGTGGTAAAAGCTCAGCTTTGTACGACATAGCCTAAGAAAAACAAGGGAGGGGTACGCGGATTAGCCCAGAAGTGCCCAACCACCTATGTACTAAGTAAGGATGTCAAGACGGGGCACAGAGGGAGGTCGGGTAGGACGAGTCAGGAGGGCATCTTTGTCTTCAAAGCAGGGAGGACCCTCAAGAACCAAGCTGGCATTGGGGGCGGGATGTGCTCGGGCGCCCTGATGGGGCGGGGGACGGGACTGGGGTTGAAAACCAGTGCGGATCGCAGCAGAGGAGTCGCAGGGAGGGGGAAGGGCGGCGGGCAGGGGCCAAGGGGCCTGGCAACGTCTGGGGCGAAGGGCGGGGGCAGAGCGCGGATGGCGGTGCGGGGAGGCCCAGGCTCGGAGGGGTCGCGGCCGCGCGGACGGGCGGCCGTACCCGGAGCGCCAGGACCCCAGCTACCTTGAGGGCTTCCAGCCTGTAGCGCTGAGTGGAGGTGGGGTCCATCATGACCGTCACTGCTTTCACCAGCTGCTCGCACAGCGCGTTCACTTGATCCATCGCCATGGCTGGCACCACGTGCCAAGAGCACACGGCACGGCAGTCTCAGCAGCACGCAGTATCTATGCCTCCTTCGGCGGGACCACACGTTGGGACCGGGCCGCGGCGGGCTGGGGGTGGGGAGCAGGAGGAGGAGCGCGAGCCACAGGGGCTGGAGCCGGGAAGGACCCGGCGCTGCGCACGCGCCCGACCTTCCACTGCGCATGCGCGCGCGGAAGTGGCGATTCCGCTGTGAAGTTCCTCTTTGGTGGGTGGAGCGAGAGGCGGAAAGCCCCAGTGCGCAGGCGCATCAACGGCTACTCGCTGCGCGCGCGCTATCTCGTCAGTCTGTGCAGCCCGGTCTCTCCCCGCGGCTTCGCAGGTGCAGTTTCTGGGATCCTTGCGGGATTGTCCGTTGTCCAGGGGAACAAATCTCGCTCAAGACTCACTGTCCCGCCCCCGGAAGGGCGACGAGACCTCCTATACCCTTTCATTTCTTCCAGTGAACACTGAATCTGGGGTTTGTCGTCGGCAGCTTGGTCAGGTGTTTGTCGCCTCGGTAAGGAAATAGAGCGTCCGGCGTCGCTGCCTTCAGACTCCTTACAATGCCTTGGCTACTAGTTGTTTTTTGTGTGTGTGGGGGGGTTTGCCTTGGCTACTAGTTTTATAAAGTAGCATGGCAGGTGATACACTGGGCCGAAAGTGAGAATATGCTAATCCCAGAAGGTCTTGAGATTTTTCTGGTAGGAAAGACTGATATTTCCCTGTGGTCCTTAAAAGCTTTCTCTGTCCCTGCACTTAACTTTCCTTACTTTCCTACCTGATCGGCTCCAAACTTGTTTTGTACAGATTGAGATAAATAGGGCTTTTTAAATATGAAGAATTGCAATCATTGAAGACTTATGCAGTTTTGATGATTTGTTGAATTGAAAGAATTCAAAGTCGTTATCCGGAAGCAAGATCTTGGCAGAAAGCATATTTGTTCATTCTCCTTCGTTATAAAAATCTTGCTTTGTGCCGTAAATACGTAAGCTGAAGAAGCCTCTGTGGCTTATTTGTCACTTCTGCATATCTGTTTTTATGATAGGAGGGGGTCCAGAAGGTCTTGCTGTACAGTCCGGGCTAGCCTCCACTCGAGATCCTCCTGTCTCAGGCTCCAGGGTGCCGGGATCGCCCACACCTGGCTCTGTTTTTGTGATTTTGTGTACCTAGTAAAATGCTGGTTGCTGTTAAATCACTGCTTATTTCACTCCTGATGTAACTTTCCTTATCGTAGAGAAAAGCTACTTCAAGGTAAAAGAATTTCTGACATGGTTTTAAATTATAATGTTTAAAGTATCACATTCTGCCTATTTTAGTTGAGTAGTCAATAGAAATTCACCAGGAATTAATGCCTTTACTACTCTTGATTTTCTTAATTATTTGGTTTTTCCCCATTAATTTTCCAGCTTTGTAGTTGCATGACAGTTTTTTCAGGGTGAATGTTAGTTTTTGAAAAACTTTTTAAAGAATACAGTTGGGTGCTCACTCAAGTGTATAACCTGTGTTTCTCATATGTAAATCATGAATTTCTGGTGTTTTCATATGCGTCTTACTTATTTTAGGCCAGCAGTTCCTAATTAGGCTGTATATTGGAATTGCTTAAAGAGTCTTACAAATCACAATGGCCAAGTCACATCCCATAAATTAGGATGTCTGGGGTGGAAGTCAGAGAAGCATTTCTGTTGTGTTCAAACATTTACATACTAGAAAATAACAATTGCTACAGCGTAATTGTTATAGACTAGATCCACTGACAGTTGCATAATGATTGAAAGTTTGAAGAGTAACAGGATAGTAACATAGTCTCAAAATGTTCTCTCTCAAGGTATTAGTTACAAAAGGAAAAATAGTAACTTACACCGAGACTCCTGGTAAACACCATTTTAACTGATTATAGTTAACATTGTATTGACAACATAACCTTTTCCCCCATATGATAAAAATGGAAGCATTATTTCCATGATATTATTACTAAAAATGCATATGAGAACCAAAAACAAAAGACACTGTCAAAATAACTGACCAGTACTGGTAACAAGCACAAGGCCCCAGATTCAGTCCCCAGCACTCTCCCTGCCCTCAAGTGTCAGGATTATGAAAATCAAGGAAAGATGGAAGGGTCACAGATTGGAAGAGACTAAGGAGACTTCCTGGACTGGATTCCGGAATAGAGAAAGACACTCATGGAAAAACCAATGAAATCCCAGTAAGTGTGTAGTTGAGTTAATGTTTTATCAGTGTTCATTTTTAAATTTTAATAATTGTGATATTTTCAAAATAAATGCTGTTATACAGTTGTCCATGGGAAAATTGGTTCCAGGACACTCCCACAGGATCCAAAATCTGTAGATGCTCAGGTCTCATAGAAAATTGCATATATAACCTTGCACATCCTCACATACATAGACATTTTTTTTTTTTTCAGTGGTGGTATGGTAGTGTAAGTAGAAATTCAACCATATAATAATGTTCATGAAGTTGTTACATTGACAGGTAAGGTTAATATGAAGCTTGGAGGGCTGGGGATTTAGCTCAGTGGTGCCGCTGCCTGCCTCGCAAGTACGAGGTCCTGAGTTCGATCTGAGTACCAGAAAAAAAAAAGTTTTGAATATAAAGCTTGGAATATTTTTCAATGTTTCAGTCAAACTGTGAGGGTAAAATGCCCTGAATGCTGAGGCAGGACACATAGGAAATCCAATGCCAACATTTACATGTCATTACCTCTCCAAGTTCTACCACAGAGTGTTGAGCCCCACTGCAGCTGAAGTAAGCTTTAGGCAACACAGTCATTAGGTGATTTTTCTCAAATAATATAGATTTCTTTTGAAAGTTAATTTTTGGTTTTAACAATAAGGCCCTGGGGCTGGGCATTTAGCTCAGTGGTTCTGCCACCTGCCTCGAAGGTGTAAGGGCCCGAGTTTGATCCCTGGTACCAAAAAAAAAAAAAAAAGTCAAAACAATAAGGTCCTTTGGGCTTACCAAATTTTTATAGCCTGATGTGCTTTATGTGTGTTTAGAAACTTCTTATTGTGCCTACAACAGAAGAGTTCCATGTTGACTGGTAATTAAAAACCAGAAGGTATTGTTCCTCCTTCCCAGTGAGTTACAGGGTGCTCTGGGACATTATTTTCAGTTCTTCCTACCTATGCATTGTGGTCTATATTTGCATTTCCTCCTGACTAATGATGCTGAGCCTGTTTTTATGCACCTATTGGCTATGTGTGTATCTTTTGTGAAATGTTTGATTCTTTTAAGAATGAGTTACTTTAAAAAAAAAAGTTACTTTTAAAGTTTTTAATATTTATTACCTGCATACAGTTGTACTAATTTATGCTCATGCCAGCAGTATGTGAAAATGTCTTGCATTCCTCTTAGTTTCCCTGTTTTCAGGCTTATGATAACTCTTCAGTGAAAGAATGGAAATATAGTTTTCCCTGGCATTTTGGATTAGCACCTCTCTAACTTCATAAAATGTCTTATAGAAGAAATGGCTACTGGACAAGACCGAGTGGTTGCTCTTGTGGACATGGACTGTTTCTTTGTTCAAGTGGAGCAGCGGCAAAACCCTCATTTGAGGAATAAACCTTGTGCAGTTGTGCAGTACAAATCCTGGAAAGGTGGTGGGTACGTACTATTATTGTTGTGACAGTCTATTGCTGCTTTAATCCATGGGGATACAGTGGTGCTGTGTGAGCTCTTGTCTCTGAGATTTCAAAACTGCTGTTTTTGAGATCAAATGACATCTGTAGTCAAAAAATTTCTAACTTTATGTGTCTATAGCCTATTCCTGTTAAATTTAAATTTTTTGCTTTGGTCCCTCTTTTTTTCTAACCTTAGAATAATTGCAGTGAGTTACGAAGCTCGTGCATTCGGGGTCACTAGAAACATGTGGGCCGATGATGCTAAGAAGTTATGTCCAGATCTTCTACTGGCACAAGTTCGTGAATCCCGGGGGAAAGCTAACCTTACCAAGTAAGAAAAAAAGATTGTTGAAAGGGACGTGGAAAGTTGGAAAATAATAATCCGTGACAGTTGGAAATGGTGTTTCAGAGTACTTTTGTGTAAATAACATCTGAAAAGTTCCCTTTGGTCAGCATCTTATCTCTGTGAAATGAAAGCAAAAAGGGTTTTTTTTGTTGTTTTTTTTTTTAGCAAAAAGGTTTTGACATTTGATTTCATTAATAGTTCAGAACTACTATTACAATAATTGCTTCCTCTGATACCCATTTGTTTCCTTTATTTAAAAATTGTTTGTTACAATTAATTTTATTTATTTATGGAGGGGTTGAGACAGGGCCTCACTGTGTATTTCAGACTGGCCTCAAACTCATGGTAATCCTCCTGCCTCTTAAGTGCTGGAATTACAGGTGTGCACCACCAAGCCCAGCTAGGTTGTTATAATTAAAACTTAATACCAATTCACATTTTGAATAAATTTCCCATGTTCTTAGTCCAAAAGTCTAAAGTGACTGAAGTAATTTAAAAAACTGTAAAACTATTTTTCCAAGGAAGCCTTAAACTGACATTTTAGTGCAATATCTAGAATTATTTGCTAGAGTTAAAAAAAAACAAAACATAATTATCTGCCAGAGCTGAATAAACAGAGAAATTGTTTTCTGTGTGTTGTTGTTGTTTTCTTTTTTTGAGACAGGGTCTCATTATGTACTTCAGGCTGCTTTGAACTCACTATATAGCCCAGGCTGGCCTAAACTCTCAGTGATCTTCCTGCCTCAGCCTCCCAAGTGCTGGGATTACAGATGTGTACCACCATGCTCCATTATTTATGTTTTTGTTTGTTGTTGGTTGTTTTGTTTTGTTTTTTTTTGTACCTGGTCTTCTGTTTTTTAATCGAGCAGTCTGTCCCCAAATGTTAGATGTTTAGCCTTGGAATGAGAGATATGTATAGAAGATATGTATAGAAAGTAGGAACAAGGGCCGGAGATTTAACTCAGAGGCACCTTTTTTTGCCCTACTAGGGATTGAATCCAGGGGCTCAAGTATGCCTGACAACTACTATACCACTGAGTTATTTCTACAGCCATTTTTATTTATTCCAGTACTCTGGGGGTTGAACCCAGGAATACTCTACCACTGAGCTACATCACCAACCCTTTTAAAAAAATGTTTTTGAGAGAGGATCTTGCTAAGTTGCCTATACTGGCTCAAACTTGTGATCCTCATGCCTTAGCCTGCTGAGTAGCTGAGATTATAGTCATGTGCTATTGTGCCCAGCTCTTTAGTTTTTTTTTTTGTTTTTGGTTTTGGTACCGGGGATCGAACTCAGGTCCTTGCACTTGCAAGGCAGGCGGCAGAACCACTGAGCTAAATCCCCGGCCCAGCTCTTTAGTTTTTTTGAGATCAGATCTCACTAAGTTCCTCATGCTAGCCTTGAACTTGCCGTTCTCCTGCCTTTACCTTTGGAGTAGCTGGAATTAACATGTATGCATCATCGTACCCTGCTGGATTATTTACTTTTAGAATCAAACTATAAATTTAGGAATAAAGATATTGCAACTTAAAATAATTTTAATAATTAACTTAAGATACTAGGTTATTAAATAAAGTTTCAAATATCCTTCAGAATATTTTAATTTGCTCAAAGGGCTGTAAAGAAACTGCTGCTGCGACACCAACCACTGATGCAGAGCATCCTGTCCTAGGTATTTGTGTATGAGTGCATTGATCCTTTCTTTCCTCTGAGGCCTATCTTCTTCCTAAACCAAATAATGATTAAAAGGATAAAAGTCAAACATAGCTCTGATCTCTCATTTGATGATGTTTTGTAATATACTAGTTTTTATAGGTGTCTTAGAGAAGAGGTATAAATATTTTCACTTTTACGGCAAATATAGCAGGATCAAAGAACTTTAAGTTACATAGCAGGGCCTAAACAAAGCAAAGCAGACATCTGTGTACTGTCATAGAAAGCTAGCTATACAGCAGCAGAGTGGCTTCTGACTAGAACAGAGGGCCTGAGGAAGAACAGAGAGAGGCTCTGAGGAAGGCCATCTGCCTGCCTGGCTGCATCACTTTGTTCTATAGGCATGTATCTTCAGCCTGATGATTTTGTGAATGTTCATAGACCAAGAAGTAGCTGTTGGAATATGTGTGTATAGTGATGAGCAGGTTGTGTGTTAGCTGAACTCCTATTTGCTGAAGTGTAGAGTCCACATATTAGTTTGTTATGGTGAGAATGCTGCCCTGAGGAAGACCAGATTCTCTGTTCACTGATCAGTACCCTATAAGTTAGCTCTTGTTGTGGGGGTTTTTTGGTACTGGGGATCAAACTTGGGTCCTTGCACTTGCAAGACGGGCAGCGTAACCACCCTATAAGTTAGCTCTTATTTCAAGACAGAATCAGAAGCAAAAATCTTCTGTGGTAGACATGAAAATAACAAAGGAATAGGTGATCATAGTAAATGTCTTTTGGTGCACAGCATTTCTTTCCTTTTTAAAGAAATCCTTGTCATATAGAATGTTCATGTTCTGCATGCTTTCTGGATTGATAGTGCTAGCATTACACTAACGAAGTTTCCCTCCAGGATTTTTTCCTTTTCCTTCTGTTACAGGTCATCTGCCTGCCCATTGACTGTCTAGTCTCTGTTAAGCCACATGTCTCTTGATCATGTAGATTTATGTTCATTATGAGGGAGAGATGGGCTGACAATCTCAAGGTTGCCTCCATATATGACCTTCATGCTTTTTAGGTACCGGGAAGCTAGTGTTGAAGTGATGGGGGTGATGTCTCATTTTGCTGTGATTGAACGTGCCAGCATCGATGAAGCTTATGTAGATCTGACCAGTGCTGTGCAAGAGCGACTACAGAAGCTACAAGGACAGCCCATATCAGCAGACTTGTTGCCAACCACTTATGTCGAAGGTTTGCCTCAGAGCCCTACACCAGCGAAAGAGACTGTTCAGAAAGGTACTTCCATAGTATCATATTGCTTCCGCTTCCCACTTTTGGAGCCTGCTTTGTTTGGTCATACAGATTCTTCTTGGAATGATTGAAAAGAAACGTAAACTACAGCCTGAGTGAATCACAAGGACTCACATGGAAGGATATACAAATTCTCTTTATCTTTCCAGGTATATGCATATTCAGAAGCTGTGAAATCTTAAAAAAAAAAAAGAAAGAAAGAAGCTGTGAAATCTATATGAAAGTAAATATCTCTTTAGGTACAACTACCACAGGTTAATGTGACTAGGAGAAGGTAGGAGGCTGACTAAGCAATTCCTTTATCTGCAGGTTAATTTGTACTATAACTTAGGTTCTTGGTCTCATCTGTGTGGGTGAGCTTTTTTAAGGAAGATTTCAAACATAGGCAGTTATTTAAAATGTCCAGTCATGGGCCAGGGATTTAGCTCAGTGGTTCTGGCGCCTGCCTCGCAAGCACAAGGTCCCGAGTTTGATCCCTGCTACAAAAAAAAAAAAAGTTCAATCAGGGCTCGAGATTTAGCTCAGTGGTTCTACCACCTGCCTCACAAGCACAAGGTCCCTAGTTCGATCCCTGGTACCAAAAAAATGTCCAATCAATTTATAGCATATTATCTTTTTGCTTCAGTGTTTCCCACCCCTCCAACCCCACTCATCCTGTGGCATCCACTGACATATTTATTTTCTTAGCTATGTATATGTGTTTATAAATTATACATTATTGTTTGTGCTTTTTAATTACAAGATGATGCTTCGCTAATTACACATTTTATTCTGTCTCTTAATTTTCTTTCAATGGTGATTTTAGAGACAGCCGGGTGTGGTGGTGCACGCCTGTAATCCCAGCATTTGGGAGGTTGAGACAGGACGATTGCTTTGAGTTTGAGGCCAGCCTGGGCTACATGGTGAGTTCAAGGCCAGCCTGAACTACATATTGACACCTTGTCTCAAAAGAAAGAGATCTATGTGGCTGAATTTATAGATAATTGATGGCTTTTAGCTATGACATAATTCATGAATGGCTCCGCCATGGTTACAGACCACTCTCTCTGATGATGGCTGCATTGGCGGCTTCTAACACCCTGCTTATATGCTGAATGTCATTATCATTTGTTGGACCTATGCAAGGGTCTCTCTAGAAGTGTTTGCAGGAATGGACCAATAGGCCACAGGGTATACACATAGACTTTATTTTTGTAAGTACAGCCAGTGGCTGCTCAGAAGCACTGTCAGAGCTTACACTCCTTAGCAGTACACAAGAGTTCTTGTTTCCCTTCTGTTCTCACCAACAATTGGCTATCATCTAAGTTTTTTTTGGTACCGGGGATCAAACTTGGGACCTTGCCCTTACGAGGCAGGCGGCGGAACCACTGAGCCCTGGCCCTGTTGTTTGTTTTGAGACAAACCTGGCCACACAGGTTGGCCTCCACCTCTCATCTTATCTGTCTCAGCCTCCCAACTAAGAAAAGCACAGGTCTGAAATGCTGAAATCGCAGGCATGTGCCCTCATAGCCAGCTTGTGCAGTCTGTTAACCAAAGATCATTATATGGCTCATGACTGAAAATAATGATGTAGATGTCTTAAGTGACCTTTCCACATTTTTCAGAGGAGATGCGAAAACAAGGCTTACATCAATGGCTCGATTCTCTTCAGATTGATAACACCATCTCTCCAGACCTGCAGCTCACCGTGGGAGCAGTGATTGTGGAGGAAATGAGAGCAGCCATTGAAAGGCAGACTGGATTTCAGTGTTCAGCTGGGATTTCACACAATAAGGTAAAGACAAGCACATATTTTGAAGAGAAACATGGATATCTTTAGTCAAATACAGCAAAGTAGACAAGAGTGCGGCATTTGAACTATTTTTTATTCATTAAGTTTATTGGTACATTTTAGGTATACAATATGATGACATTCATCATTGGGAATTTGTACCTTTACATGATATATCTTGGTTCTCATTTTTTTCCTCCATTCCTCTGCCCTCCCTTCATCCCCTCCAT